GATGGGCAGGACGCAAGCGTCCGGCAGCTGGAGGGTCGTGGGGATGATGAAGTGGTACTTGTGGACGGACACAGGGTGGTGTTGCCAGCCTGCGGGGGCGGCATTCGCCGAGCTGCGGTCAGAGGCGGCCTCGAGGGTGGCGAGCGGCGCTGCGTTGTTGCCGGCTCGCCGGCAGCGGGGGTTCTGTGGGTGCTTCCGTGTGCTGTCGCCGCGGCCGGCACCGACGATTTCGGGGGAAGTGCAGCGTACGAAAAGAAGGCCGCGGTCACCGCTGAGCGTGGCGCAGCCCGTCGGGGTCACGACGCCAGGCCAAAACCATGCCCGCGTCGTGGGCGCCCGCAGCATGCGTGTTCAACCAGATCGCGTCATCCCTGCGCGGAACCCACGTTGACGGGACGGGTCGACGCAGCCGCGAATGTCGGCGCCAGCGCCGGCCCACGCGCGCCCAGCAGTTCCCGACCGCGCGGACGCGACGACCGGAGCCGTCGCGGGAGCGGGCGCCAAGGGGTGGCGGCTTCCCGTGACAGGGCTGTCGCCTCTGAACGGACCGTGCAGATGTACAAGCGCCGGCGGAGCGAAGCGGCGACCACAGCCGCCGGGGGTCGATCTCTCGGCACGCTGGGAAAGACGCCGGCCCAGGGTACAGTTACAAGGCGTGGATCGCCCTGCGAAGCCGCGTCGGCGCCGCCCCACCCGGCCCAACACCTTTTCCTCAGCGCCCGCAGCCATGGCGAGGATGCGGAGATAGCGCCGGTGCCGTGCCTGGCCGGGCCCCCCTTCCCCCCCCCTTCGTCCGCCGTGGGCTTCTGACCAGCGCCAAACGGCCCCGAGAGTCCCGCAGGGGAAGGGATGCCCCCCCGATCGGACGCCTCGGCTGGGGAAACCTCGCCGCAGCACGCACCACGCAAGCGCCCCCGCCCGCGTCCCCTTTTCCGATCGCCCCCGGCGGGACGGAAATCGAATGCGATCCCTCGGGCGCGGCGCGCCGCCCTGGCGACGGGCCCCGGCCGTAGGGCCCCGTTCTGCCCAGCAATGCGGCCGGCGGGCTCGCGTCGACAAAAAAAAGTGCGGTGTCGTCAGATCGCGCAACACCCCCCACCCCCCCCCCAGCGGCCTTCCGGCGTACACCGACAGGGACCCACTGACACGAGGAGCAACCTCACACTGCACGCACGACTCCCGGTCCCCAGAACCCTGCCCCGCTCCCGCCGCTGGCACCCTTGGTTCACACTGCAGCGAGCTCGGCCGGGACAGCGCCTAACCCCAAAACCACCGCCATCCTCAGCAAGCACGAGGATCCACAGGCGGGCGGCCATCCCGCGAACCCCACCGCCAAAGGCACTCCACGCTGCGTGCAGCGCTCCCCGTGACCCGTGAGTCAACCCCTCCCACCCCGCCTCGGCAGCATGGTCCCGGGCAAGCGGCAGGAACCTCCCCCGGCAAACCCACCGTTGCAGCGGCACTGCTCGCATCCGCCGCGCTCGCCGCTGTCGAAGCGCTCCTCGTACACGTGCAGAGGGCGGCCGGGCGCCAGGGCCAGGGTCCAGGCCCGCCCGCGCCAGGCGCCGCCCTGCACACGGTGCTCCCTGCCGAGCCCGCCGAGCAGCACCTGCACGTTCCGCCGGAACGGGCCGCACAGCCCGTGCACAGGATCCGCGATCCAGGGGATGGTCGCGCCCGCGCAGTCCTCAGTCATGGCTCATCGACGGGGGCGACCGGCGGCCCCTGCGGTGGGTGGGGTGGGCGGGCGGGGAGGGTGGGAGTGGAGCCTGCCGCTGGCTCTAGAATGTGGCGCCGGGGGTTGGGGAGTGTCTTTTGCCGTGGGTTTGGGGCTGATGGGGGGCCCGTCAGCCGGGGGCGCAGGCCCAGCCCGCGCCGAATTCCCTCCATCTGCTCGGTCATTCCTCCGCCGCATTATGCCCGGTGATAGGGGGAGCGCTCCTCCAGGGTTGTGTCAAAAGTTTGACCACGAGGAGATCGAGGATTCGAGGGAGGGGCGGTGAGGGATCCCTGTCATGAAACGAGCCTTCGCGAAATGAGTTTCTTGTGTAGTATATTGTATGTTGAATTGACGCGCCGAGAAATGGGGTAGGGTTTCAGGCAAGTGCCCCCAGGAATTTACCCGACTGCAACAACCGACGCATGCGAGAAGAGGCCCAGACCGACACTAGCTTGGTCGGAAACCTCCTCGAGCGCTAAACAACAGAGGCACCCAAAATGTCTGTGTGAAGGCGTCGATGGCTGTCCATATCGTACATACGCAATCAGCGACTTAAGAAATTAAGCCACCAAACATTCCCATTGAATACCAGAACGGCAACTGATAGTTGCCATCGTCAATCAGGCTTGTCATGAATCGGCCACTATCCCTGCATGGGCCAGCTGCACACCATGTGGAGAAGCCGTCAACTATTGGTTGTGCAAGAGGCGGCGTTGATCCGCTGGTGATTCGCATCAGCATCCAAGAAACGGCAGTCGGAAAGCTTGTGAGCGTGAGCCAAAGCATAGTTCACAGCCACCAATAGGGTGACAAAAACTAGCGGCCTGTGTCGCCTAAGCAGGTCCACGGCCAATGTTCATAGCTGTGCCGCACGCCTGGGTAGTGCAAATGACGGGCAGCTGCTCAGCGGGACCATGAGCATGGTTAGAAAATGGGCGCTAATCAGAGCGCATTGCTCGTCAGGCATACAAAACCGACATGGGCCCATTCAAGCTGAATAGTTTGAACCCATGGACCCCGGAGCTCATGATGTGAATCCCATTCCAACCCCATTTTGTAACCAATATAGCAGGTGGATTTACAGTCGCTTTTTCGGTTCATCGTTAGTTTTTAGTGCACCCTTTCTTCTAGAGAACATTGAGTTCCGTTCCAAGCCGCTTACAGCAAGTCGTGTCGAATTTGTTGGACGGTGGAAACTCATGTAGAAAGGTTTTTGCTCAAAATTCATGCTGGATTTGTCCAAGAGAACATCGAATCCTGAACAAAAGAAGCGTCATGCCTTTGTTTCTGAACGGGCAGTGCTGCACAAGTTTTTGTTGGGGGATGACATTTTGTATACCTGGCCATCACTCTCACGGGGCTAGTTTGAATTGACAATTGAACGATACACGAAGTGTTGAACACTATTGCTTGTGTTTGAAACGAGACATGAATACGCAAACACTGGGGATTTCCAGTCCCGAGCTTTCTTCGGCCAAATGTTGTGCTGTGAAGGACACCAAGATTTCAGGGACAATCGGGATTGGCGCACGTTGTGAGCCAGTAGGGAGAGGTACAGCACCAAGCAGAGACGCTCTTCCTTTTTCGGTTGATAACCCAGCCCACGCGCTGGGGGCGCTCTTATGCTTTGGAGGACGATTCCCGGAGCTGTTCGTGGTGGCTGGCACTGGTCTTCACAGCTCACGTCAAAATGCGCACAGCCGCTGTTTCAAATGACAGCAGCAACTTAGTTTCGCCGCAACTGCCAAGTGGGAAGAAAGGACGGCAGCCGCAATACGGCGTTTGCAGGCATCAGCGTCTTTCGCAGAATCCATGTGTGCCTCTCGTGTGCTCCATTACTGCCTTTTCCCCTGTACAAGGCAAAGAGCCCTGCTCAGAATTCCACCCGCACATCCGTGTCCCCACCAAGCGGGCTTCCCCGCGCGCACCCCCTGGCTGCGTCACGATTGCCTAAACGGGGTGCGCACGCCTTCACAGGGATTCTCACCCGCACATGGACATCACGCAACGTTGGCCTGCCTCAATTGCGCCTCGCGAGTGTCCCGTGAAGCGGCACCATACCACAGGCGCTGCGTCAGGTTGGCGCCACCAACCCGCGGTGCACAAGGAAGGCGGCCCTCCTGCCTCAGGCACAACGGTCGGGCCAACGCTCCGTGTCGCAA